CCACCTTAACATTAGGAGGCACTTCCTGACAGTGAGAGCTGTTTGACAATGAAGCACATTCCCTCTGAGTATGGTGGAGTCTCCTTCTTTGGAGGTCTTAAATGGCTGGATGGCCATCTGTCAGGGATGGTTTGATTTTGAGTTCCTGTATGGCAGGGGGTTGGACTGGATGGCCCTTGTGGTCTCTTCCAACTCTATGATTCTATGATTCTATGTACAGCAACCCTAATGCCTATCCCCATATCTCCACGCTAATCATTTTTGAGACCCAAAATACAGTTGTCCCCGTTCTGGACTCCCCCCCCCCCCCCCGCGAAAATGGCAGCTCACTAATATTGGAGCCCTATTGAAACTAATGGTGTGTGCACCCGTGACATGGGTGTGGGGATGCGCGCAGGCGCACATGGCCATTTGAAACATAGGCACTTGTCCCTCCCCGTGAAGAGCGAGACTGTGGTCTCAAAACCCATGAATGGGGAGGGACAACTGTACAGCTTTTGGAAAACTTTCTAGATGTCTTTGCTCTTACTGTTACCATAAACAAGTGGGCTATTTATTTGACAGCAGTTCAGATGTTCTTTATGGGTATTGGGCTTCTTCCTGGAACCTGAGTTTGAGCCAGAAATTTGGCTGCTGAAGCTTCTCTTAATAGGGGGGAAAGAGATGGGAAAGGCATCACTGCCTCAATTTCTCAGGGTTTGGCTACTTCTCCATTTAAAATGCGGCAACCCTTCTGTTTAAAAGCCCGAGGGAAACATTCTTCTACAGCTCAACATTTTTCCTACTATATTTGCAAAACAGGGTTCACCTATGTTTACGCAAGTTTTAACTACCGTATATCACTTCAAATCCCAAACCAGCTTCTTTGGATGGGGTTTTCATTTAGCTACATGCCAAGGTTTGTTAGTGTGAAGATTTAAAAACACTCAAATTACTATTTTCTTCTCATGGTTGTGATGCAGAATTCCATTCATACTCCCACCTAATCAGCCATGACAAAATTTAAAAGACATGAGAAAATTAACATATTGGTGAATTGTATGAGAAAGCTACAAAGTAAAAGTCCTTTGCTGCAAATTTCTTTTCCTGCCAAGAGATTTCAAATCGAGCCACGATCAAGTATCCCTAAGGGCGCTCTTCAGCCCTTGCTATATTCACATTTCTCCTTTGGTTTCACATCAGGCATTTTCGCCTATTAATTCATTACGCACAAATCACATGACAGGAAGGACACCCGAACCTAGGAGAAAGGAGGGACTGGGACTCACTGACTCATACTGATCGCATTCTGTAATATGAGCATTGCTATAAACAACTAGATCAAATGGTGGCGAGTGATAAAAGTTTGCATTGGATTATTATGAACTGCTGTTCACCCACCCATCTCATTACTGCTTCTCAAGATACCTGTTTACCATTAACAGGGTGCACTGTGCCTCTATATGAATCTTGGCCCACCAATGCACAGTTCAATTATTGGACCATACATCTCAGAATGATAGGAATCACAATCCTACAACAACTACTACTACAACTACTACTACTACCATTACTGTTCAATTTCATGTAATACAGTTGGCCCGCTGTATCAATGGATTCTTGATCCACAGATCCAACTATTCATGCCTTGAAAATATTAAAAAATATATAAATTCCAAAAAGCAAATTTTCATTTTGCCATTTAAGGGACACCATTTTACCACACCACTGTATTTAATGGGATTTGAGCATCCACTGATTTTGTTATCCGCAGGGAGTCCTAGAACCCAAACCCCAGCAGATGCCAAGAGAAAAAATCTGAGAAAAACAAGAGGAGGAAGGAAAGACCAAGTGAGGGAAAGCTGTTAGCTTCTTTAGTGGCATTTTAGCTTATCGGTTATACCAGGGGTAGGCAACCTTTCCCCTTTAAGGGCCGAGGGACTTCAGCTCCCAGAAGCCTCAGCCATGTTGTCCAATAGTCCCATGTTGGCCAATAGCTCCTGGGATTCTGGGAGCTGAAGTCCCTCGGCCCTTAAAGGGGAAAGGTTGCCTACCCCTGGGTTATACCTTATTAGTTCCAATAGCCCTTGCCACTTGCAAAAGGTAAAGTTAGAAGCACTTTAAAAAAAAATGCAACTTTTTACTTCCCAGTTCCCAAAAGTCACCCAAACAGTTTTTAAAAAAATCCAAAAAGCTAGCAACCCACCAAAATGCTACACTGGCCTATGGTACAAAACACATTCTTTTCCTGTCCACCTTGTCATCTACACTCCCACCAGAGACCATGAGGCGGCAAGACAAAGCAGCATGTGAACCATTCGGCAAGGAGAAATCTTGTAACTATCGAAGTAACTACAGGAATACACCACACGCAGGCTGCATCTGCACTGCAGAAATAATGCAGTTTGACACTACTTTAACTGCCATGGCTCAATGCTATGGAATTCTGGGAATGGTAGTTTGTTGTAGCACCAGAACTCTCTGACAGAGAAGGCTAAATATCCCACAAAACTACAATTCCCAGGATTCCATAGCACTGAGCCATGGCAGTTAAAGTGGTGTCAAACTGCATAATTTCTGCAGTTCATTTGCAGCCACAATCATATTATCACTTATAGTTTATATACTTAATTTAGCTATCTGTTTGCTATTTGAAAAATATTTAATTACAAGGATTTCAAATTAAATGCTTCAGTCATTTTATATATATCCTGCCTGCTGTTCTTGCGTACCTTCAAGTCACTTACGACTTATGGCAACCCTAAGGTGACACAATCATGGGGTTTTCTTGGCAAGTGTCTGCAGAGGGGGTTTGCCACTGCCTTCCCCTGAGGCTGAGAGTTTGTGACCTGCCACAAGGTCACCCAGTGGATTTGATGGCTGAGCAGGAATCAAACCCTGGGCTTTAGAGCTGTAGTCCAACACATAAACCACTATACCACACTGACTCCTATATCCTGCTTTCCCCGATCCCCCCCCCACCAAAAAGTGGGACTGACGGTGTCTCTAGGCTACTTTAAACCTCTGACTTTGTAATATAATTTTAAGCGACTGATGCTTGTTCAAATACCGATTATTTAAATTTATAGTTACTCATTTATTTTTTTATTATATTTTTACAAAGTACATCAACAAACAGCATCACCAAAAGTCAATCAGTCATTTAAAATACTACAATACTTAAAATCCCTTGCCCCGCTCTCTCCATTCTAGTCATTGTTATACTTTATTATTGGTTCATTCTTCACATTTGAGCTAAACTGCATCAGTTTCTTCTACCGTTAAAACTTTTTATCCCATATTCCACCTCTTCAAGATCACTTCATTCCTTTTATATATATATATATATATAACCAACTGTATGTTTAATTTGTAATTTGTCATTCTACTCCTCCTTATATCTGTTTCAATCTACCCCTTTCAACAATAATTAACAGCATAGCATTATACCAATCATAGCATGATTTATATACAATTTCTTAAACGTCGAACTTCTTCCTCTTCTTTGAATCTCACAAGTGATTAATTCCTGCGTACAGTATTTATTATATCGCCTCTTTTCTCGATATAATAAAATATGCTAACACATTACTCCAATCTTCTTTCAACTTTCCCAGTGAATTTTCCTTTATTAATATTGACAATGTATCCATCTCCATCATTTCAATGCATTTCAAAAATGGGTCATCAATTGTTGGAATTTTATAGTTACTCATTTAAATGTTACGGTATTTCAAGTACAACCAACCAACCTTTAAATGTTGGGGTATTTCAGGTACAAGCAACCAACCTTTTGGGGAAGATGTATGTATTAGAAAGCAGGGATTTCTTAGCGATGGCTCCTAAGCTTTTACGTTCCGTCTGTTCCCATGGAAACCTCCCTGTTTGTTAAGAGCATCCTCTCCCTGCTTCCCATTCAATGAAAACTTGCTATTTGTCTATAATGGTATGCCCAGGGTCATATGTAAGTGTATGAAGGTAATACAAAGAAGTACATTTAGAACGGCTGTTTTCCTGCACTTTAAAGAGAGAATCATAGAACCACGGAGTTGGAAGAGACTGCAAGGGCCATTGGATTTACATTGGAAGGCTTTGGATTGGGAAGGGCTGTATTTAGGAAAATAGAGATACTGTATATACTCATGTATAAGTCTATACATTTTAGTTAAAAAGTCAACCCAAAAAAAACTGGGTCAACTTTTCCATGGGTCAGTGTAAGTACTGTACTTTAACTCGTACATATATATTTCCTTCATCCTTTACGTCCTTTGTTATATGCCCCTAAGTTTCACCCTTGACTTATCCATGGGTCATATCAAAATCGATAATTTTGACCCCAACACCTGCCCTCAACATATACGCACACGCACACACACACACACACACACACATATATATATATATATATAAAGAGAGAGAGAGAGAGAGGATGCAATGGCTCGAGTGGTTAAGACACTGACCCTGTAGATTGCAAGATCAGCAGGTTAGCAGTCCGAGGCCCGAGTGCTGCATGATGGAGTGAGCTCCTGTCACTAGTCCCAGCTTCTGCCACCCTAGCAGTTGGAAAGCATGCAAATGCAAGTAGATAAACAGGTACCACTTTGGTGGGAAGGTAAACAGCATTCTGTGAAATCATGCTAGCCACAGGATCACAGAGTAGTCTCTGACAACGCTGGCTGTTTGGCTTAGAAACAGAGATGAGCACCACTCCATATGATCAGACACGACTTGACAACTTTGTCAACGGGGAATACCTTTACCTATATATATAAGAACCATCCCGTTCTCTGAGTAGAATAGCAAAGGATGAGAGCTTAATCCAGGGGTAGGCAACCTAAGGCCCAGAGAACCGCCCGCCATGATGATATTGATTATTGTTGTTATTACTTGTTCTTGGGGTTTTCTTGGCAAAATCTCCACAGGGGTTTTGCCATGGCTTTTCTGGGGCTGAGAGAGTGTGCATGAATATTTTTAAATTTTTTATTTTATTTTATTTTATTTATTTATTTATTTATTTTTGGTGCCTCGGGACCCCCCAATTGTCTGAGGGACAGCAACCCGGCCCCCGGCTCAAAAAAGTTGCCTAGCCCTGGCTTAATTCATCCCAGGAAAACCTAAAGGAAGTATCCACCCCCCTTTACTCTCTCCTCCATGGTGCCGATTTATTTTCCTTTCCTTCATCCTTTACATCCTTTGTTACATGCGCCTAAGTTTCACCCTTGACTTATCCGTGGGTCATATCAAAATCCATAATTTTGGCCACAACACCTGCCCTCAGCTTATACATGAGGTTAACTTACTAGTTGAGTATATATGGTAATTCCATGGCTATGTATGTGCAGAAGAAATAAACGAAAAGACAATGTCCATTCTTGCTTGAAAAAAATCATTTTGGCTTTCACTTAAGTACAGATGAACAAGGACTATCCACAAGTGGCTGCAGCAAAATGTTGCAGTTAAGAGTGCTCCTGTTCATTATTCTAATGAATTTGAGGATGACGTAAGTCTATGAAAGCTCATGCTGCCGACTTCTTTCTTTCAGTTAATCTCAAAGGTTCTAAAAGATCTCTCTACATACTATCATCATCATCATCATTATCATCATCATCATCTCCTCCTCCTCCTCCTCCTCCTCCTGCAAACTTTGGGATTTCCAAGAAGTTTGTTGACTCCTCATTTTTGTGGCTACATAAGGAACAGCTTTCACACCCTGGTTGTCAATAACATAAAGAATGACAGAAGATGAAGGGGAGGAAGGAAAAAACAACACTGAATGACAAACTGCATGCAAAACTGCATGCAGTACACTTTCCTGAAATCAGCAGAATACTTGCTAAAGCTCTTAGGATGTATGTTAGTATGTATAACAGCCACCATTTATTACCTTAATATTATCTATTATTTAGATTTTAAAAAGATGCAATGAAATGGCACCCAGGACCTATCAAATATGTGCAATCATACAAAGAGAATACAGTATTATTACCTCATAGCATGTAGCATTTAGACGGTGCTTCATTGTTCAAAATGCTTCACATATATAACTGTAAAGTAGATGATGAAGACACTGAAATAGTTCAAAATTTTCCATAACCTGGCTCAGTCATTAATCAGGGCAGCCACTGTAGTCAAGAAATCAGAAGAAGACAAGGACTTAGAAGGGCGGCTATGAAGGATCTAGACTAGATCCAGAAGTGTAAAGATACATCATTGAATAATAAAGTTAGGATTGTCTATGCCAGTGATTCCCAAACTTTGATCCTCCAGATGTTTTGAACTTTAGCTCTCCGAATTCCTGACTATTGGCCAAGCTGGCTGGGGCTTCTGGGAGTTGAAGTCCAAAACATCTGGAGAACCAAAGTTTGGGAATCACTGGTCTATGCCACTGCATATCCCATTTCTTTGTATGGGTGTGAAAGCTGGACAATGAATAAAGCTGACAGGAAGAAAATCACCTCATTTGAAATGTGCTGGAGAAGAGTTCTACAGATGCCATGGATTGCTAAAAAGTCAAATAAATGGGTCTTAGAGCAAATCAAGCCTAAACTCTTGAAGCCAAGATGGCTAAACTGAGATTGGCCTGCTTTGGCCATATCATGAGAAGACATGACTCAAGAAAAGACAACAACACTTGGTAAAGTAGAAGGCAGTAGAAAAAGGAAGACCGCATTCTTAACAGACTCACTGGGGTTGCAGACTGCCAGAAATAGTGCAAATTGAGTCCACTTTTAGGGTTAGGGTTAGTGCTAGGGAATCATGGGAATTGTTGTTTTTTTTCTGAGACATTGAGCCTTCTCTGTCAGAGAGCTCTGGTGCCACAATAAAATACAGTTCCCATGATTCCCTAACCCTAACCCTAAAAGTGGACTCAATTTGCACTATTTCTGGCAGTCTGCAACCCCCCTCAGTCAAGGAAGCCACAACCCTGAGTCTGTAAAACCTGATCAGGGTTGTTGAGGATAAGATGACTTGGAGATCTTTCATTCATAGGGTTGTCTACAAATGTCTGAAACTGAAAGGTAGAAGTTGGTAGCATGAGTTTTCGTAGACTTGAGCCTACTTCCTCAGATGTAGGCTCAAGCCTAGGAAAGCTCATGCTACAAACTTCTATCTTCCAGTTAGTCTCCAAGGTGCTGCAAGATTCCTTTGCATACTGATTTTCCAGATTAACTATCTGCCTTTACAGACTGCCAGAAATAGTGGAAATTGAGGCCACTTTAACTGTCCTGGCTCAGTGCTAAGAAATCATGGGAACTGTAATTTATTGTGGCACCAGTGCTCTCTGGCAGAGAAGGCTCAATGTCCCAGAAAAAAATACAATTCCCATGATTCCCTAGCACTGAGCCAGGACAGTTAAAGTGGCCTCAATTTCCACTATTTCTGGCAGTCTGCAAAGGCCCTATGTCTTTGAATTTTCTGAAATTTGACAGGTACCAGAACTTTGACCTAAGTGAGTTTATGGATTCTCACATTCAAATGAGAGACGTGCTGTTTATAATTTGCTTTCCTTAGCCACTAAACAGATAAGATACAAGTACACACAAAAATTACATCTGTGAGTGGACACAACTCACAAGAAGCACCGTGAACACTAACAAGTTTTATTTGGCACCAGCTTTCATGGACAAGGGCCCAATTTTCATGGAAGTTGTCAAAGTCTTTCCTATGCTATATAACTCACTGAGAATAACATAGCCATTGGCTACTCTCTTGGAACTATTGATTTCTAGACTGTGACACACCAAGGCTCCAAAGCCTTCCCAGAAATGCCGTATCTGATCTGGAAACTATTTCCCATAGTTCCAGATGGATGTGGGTTGTGGCTACACAATAGTGAAGGAAAGGAAGTCTGTGCATGTTCACTTTCTTTATAGCTATATATAGCTTGATGTCAAGCCTGGGATCTGTAGACCTCCCAAGTCAAATTAAATCCTACCTCTAAGATATA